GGCACCCATTCACTGCAGAGGATCCATTAGTGAGCAAGTGATGTAAAGCTAAATTTCTTCATCTAATCTGATGGAGAAACTAATTTATCTACATCTTGGATGGCCTGAGGGTGAGGACCTTTTCAAGAAATGTCCATTTTTGGTGAGTTCACAGAGCAACCATTTAAATATAAAATGCATTCAAGTCTAACAGATTCAGTCATTAAATGGTCATTGCATGTTGATGTGTGCAGTGTTGTTACTGCTGCTCCTAAATGTCTGGCATGGAACTAAATTTGAGGTTTTCTAATTGACTTGCAGCTAAAATTCATAAGTCCTAAAGAGTCTTTCCACATCAAGCATTCAAATTATTCTCTAAGGTGAGTTACATTCTCTCTTGCTTACACTTTCTGTTGTAGTAGAAAGTCTTAATGTTTGCACAAGCCAATTTAAGAAAAAAAATGGCAAGTGGAGAGATTTTATTGAAGCATTCCATGTCACTTCCTGCTGCCAATGCCTGATGTGAAGGCTCTGATACAGAGCTCAGCCACAGGTCAGCTTTTTGTGTGTGTGGTTTGTAGCACTGCATGTATTTGTGTACTAAATGTGTGGTATTACAAATCATTTTTAATTTGACTTTAATTTTAAACTGCCAAACTTCCAATATTTTATTCATATTATACTAGTTGGCTACAGGTTGTGAAACCATCTGTTTTTGCAGGTTCTTGTATTAATGTGAAATTCACTCCATTACCATTCACTTTTGTTTTGCTCTGTAGCATTACAAGGTAGTTTGGTTTACTATATCTACATTTTATTGACTTATCCTTTTTTTTTTTTTCTTTCCCCCATGTGCCTTCCTAGATCACAACACTACATCAACCTCCCTGTTCAGTTCGTGCCGGCTGCTGCAGGCCAGTTTTCCGGCACGCTGCTCGTACAGACGGACACAGACGCTAAACTGGCCATAGAGCTCAGTGGCGAAGCCTTGCCATAAAGACCTGCTCACCGCCAGCAGAGGACACTGCAAGACGAAGCTAATAATGAAGAGTCATTGTAAACATACTTGAACTTTTTTCGTCTAAATGTTTCGCAAAAGAATGTTTAACTTTGTGTTTTCCACGACCCTTTTGATTGTTGACAGCCGTCATCGTATAGTTACGGCCTTTTGGATAAGCACTGTACAATATGGATATTATATATCCAGAATCACAACTTTGTCATCATTTTTGGTATTTTGCCACAGATTATCACCCTTCTATCACTGACGTAAAGTCGATCAGTTTTTCTGTCGTTTTCTAGGATTTGTTTCCTTTTGTTCACCTGTTGATAGAAATGTTGTCACATAATGAAGCTGGACGAATATTTTAAAGAAAGATCTGCATCACCATTAGTTGAAAATTGCACTTTTTTTTGGTGTGTGTCCGGTGTATTTATTTTGAATAAATTCTTGATAAATAAAAATTGTAAATTTTATTTATTGGTAAGTTGTCTTTGTCTTCCACTAATGTGTATCCTACCTTTTACTATGTAATCCATGTCCTTTTTTTTATTCCAAATGAAAATTATCTTGATTTTGATCATTTTATTAGGCAGTCAACATTTTTAAAACATACCTTTATTTATTTATTCCCCCCCCCCCCAAGACATTAGGTTTTATAATTTTGTTAGAACTGTATTTTTTTTGAACAAATCACAATTCTGAAAACAAAATAAATTACAAACGCAAATGCAAGTCTAAAAAACAAAATAACTATTCAGAAAGCATTATAACAAGTCAGAAAACACGATGACAAATTCGAAAACAAATGAACATGTCAGAAAACACAACGACAAATCAGACAAACCGGAAAAGGTATAGTTTGAGACAGTGCCATTGGTTTGGGATTGCTCACCGCTGACTGGACGAGACATCTGTCAATCAACGTATACAGGACGAACCAGCCAAAGAACAGCAGAGTCGTGGTAGAAAGTTCGGAGATGAACTGAGCTACTTTAATGCCATCTCCGAACTTTCTACCACGACTCTACTGTTCTTCGGCTGGTTCGTCCTGTATACGTTGATTGACAGATGTCTCGTCCAGTCAGCGGTGAGTAATCCCAAACCAATGGCGCTGTCTCAAACTATACCTACCTCTTCCGGTTTGTCTGATTTGTCATTGTGTTTTCTGACTTGTTAATTTGTTTTCAAATTTGTCATTGTGTTTTCTGACTTGTTAAAATGTTTTCTGAATTGTTGTTGTGCTTTCTGAATTATTTAGTTTTTTAGACTTGCATTTGCGTTTGTAATTTGTTATTTTGTTTTCAGAATTGTGATTTGTTTTGCACTTCTCGGCCACCGTATAAACCTCTTTATTTTACTTTCAAATGAACGTGACTGAGATTCTGCGGTTTTTATGTTGCCGTTAGATAGCATTGTAATCAAAAATAGTATAAGGCCTACTGAGTACACACATTTATAAGGCCTCTAAATGATCAACATGACCTGTTATATGCAATCTACTACATGTTTTCTAATTGATAGTTGATACTTTTTCATTAGGTAAAAAGTATTATAGCCATTGCCCCCCACAATAAAAACTTTAATAAAAAATCATCTTACTGAGAAATATAATTGGGAGATATAGATCGACAGCTGATATTTATATGCATTTTGTTTAGGTAGTCTACTATACCGTCACAAAGATATCCCTGATTTACATTACAAGCTATAGTCATCTTATGTTTTGGTCATATTAATTTCATCATTAGCAATTATCCTAATAATTTGTTCTTAAAAGGATAGTTCACTCAAAAATGAAAATTACCCCATGATTTACTCACCTTCAAGCCATCCTAGGTGTATATGACTTTCTTCTTTCAGATGAATTCAGTTGGAGTCATTAAAAAAATGTCCTGGCTCTTCCAAGTTTTATAATGGCAGTGAATGGTGGTTGATTTTCTGAAGCAAAATAAAGTGCATCCATCCATCATAAAAAGTACTCCACATGGCTCCAGGGATTAATAAAGGCCTCCTGAAGTGAAGCGATGTGTTTGTCTAAGAAAAATATCCATGTTTAAAATTTTATAAACCGTAATCTCTAGTTTAGGATGTAGGCGTAGCTTAAGCTGAGAATATGCTAGTCTTGCCAGAACCAAGTTTTGTTTACACCAAAGCAAAACCAGTATCCTCTTGGCTTATATCGAAATCCTCTGACATTTTTCTTTATAAATCCTCGTTTTGTACTCGTAATTCATGACCGGTGTTTTGTTTTGCTCTCTCCTTTGTGTTTCCGTGTTCGTCACTTCTCACCGGCGCGTGCACGCTACATCCTTCGTCATCCGCTGGAATGCCACTCTCTCGTGAATATGCGTACGACAGTTAACAGAAGTGATTACAGTTTATAAAGTTTTAAATATCGATATTTTTCTTTAAAACAAAAAAGTCCTTGTGGAGTACTTTTATGATAGATGGATGCACTTTATTGGACTTCTATCGGACTACTGAATATCAACACCCATTCACTGCCATTATAAAGCTCGGAAGAGCCAGGACATTTCTTTCAGATGAACTCTGATTGTATTTGTCTGAAAGAAGAAAGTCATACTAAAAAATCTAAAAAATCATGGATTTGATCAACTGGTCTCTCAACGCAATTGACAACATCTTCTCGACAAGAAGCTTGGGTTCGGGGGAACCTGTCTGCCCTGACGGAACGTTCGCAGCTGGCTACACGATGGACGCGTGGGAAAGGTGGCGGGTCGTGTGTCTAGCGGCTCTTTCCGTGGAGGTTTAATTTTGCTGAGGTGTTTTTTTTTTCCTGTTCCCACACTGTGCTCCCCATAGGAGCATAGTCTGGGGTCTGTTTTTTTTATCTCCTCCCCTCCCTCATGTTATGCTGTATTTCTTTCTTAAATTCCCTGTCCTCCTGTCCTGTCTACCCCCTTGTCATATTGTATGTATGGACAGGTGGATGGCTAATTTCGCTGGTACCTGTGACCAGTGACAATAAAGGGCTACAATAATAATAATAATAATAATACACACCTAGGATGGCTTGAGGGTGAGTAACTCATGGGGTAATTTTCAATTTTGGGTGAACTATCCCTTTAATTGTTCTAAATTCACGTGAAAGAGAGTGGCTGAACTCGACTTATAAAACCGATCATTCCAGTCCTGATGAAATCCACTAAATTGCACCCATGATGTGAAACTGTTCAACCAACCATGCAGAACTCCCATAACTGATCATTATTTATGTTGCATAGCATCAACTGTTTTAAATGAGACTCTAATGGTAAGATTCCACAAGAAATGAAGTGTTAATCACTGATAGATTTGATCTCTATATATTGTTGAACAGTGGTTGTAATGTAAAAATAAAAATTCTGTCAGTACTGATGACTGAGCTTAACTTTTATTGAACCCAGGATATGCCTTTAAAATATTAAAGGTATAGTTCACCCAAAAAAATGTGTTATTAACATAAAAGCGATCAGCATTTGTGCTGCACTGCCAACATGATTTGTGCTTATGATAAACATCAATGCCATGTTCTGACATGATCTGTATGTCTTCATATGCTGTTGGTTTCTGAAGACGTTGAATAGGCTATTATAGCAGAGACTGAAACTAAGGTCAGCAGATATATGATTTTTATTCACAATATTAATCTTGATAACTTTCATTGTTGTATGTTACATTTTGATGTAGTAATAAAAAAAAGATTTCTAATGTTTTTTCAATGCAGACACAGATTTGTTATATAGACACAAAGCTAAGTTTCACTCACTTTTTTTTAAAAAAATGCTCAAAATATAATGCAATGGCTCATTTTACAATACAGAGATATTTCCCCTCTAAAATGTTACTTCAGTGAGGCCTTTATAACAAAGCATATTAATGCACACATAAGACATATACATGAATTTCCCCATATCAGTACTGAGCTGCTTTAATGTCAAAGGCATCTGCTCACCTTGTGTGCCTACAGTGGTCATGCAGGTGTCCAGAGGAGCCTGACAGTCCTGAAGGTTTTTGTTACATTCTTGATTTGATGTTGCAGAGCCACACACGTAACACTTCAGCGCATTGACTGCAAAAGAAAAACAAAAAAGTCTGGTTCTTCAGGAAATATGTGAATTGATGTCATTTATATTGAATGTAATATTTATGATGCAATCGAACAAGCAGCTAATTAAAAATGATTGAAATTCACAATAGAGCACACTGTATTCTAAAATGTCACCATACTTGAAACTGTCAGTGCTGGAAAATAATGTTGTTTACACAACACACATTACAAGTCGGTTAAAAATTAACTTACAAAGTCATGGAAAGGGTTCGGAAATAGCACATAACCCAAATAAATATAGCACTGTTCAGAAGTTTGGGGTTAGGTTATTTATTTCTTTTCTGCTTTATTTTGTTCAGCAGTGATGCATTAAATTGATCAAAAGTGAGAGGTAATTTATCATGTTACAAAAAATGTCTGTTTCAAATAAATGCTGCATTTATCAAAGTATCAAAAATGATTATTAATAAAAAAATATTAGAATGATTTCTGAAGGATAATTTGACAAGACTGGAGTAATGATGCTGAAAATGGAGCTTTTTCATCACAAGAATAAAAAACTTAAAAAATATATATAAAAATAGGAAATAGTTGTTTTAAACTATAATTACATTTCGCAATATTACAGTTTTTTTTCTGTACTTTTTATTCATTTCACACAGCCTCGTGAAGCATATAACATTAAATAATTCCCAAACTTTTGAATGGTGTATATATAGTGTATATATAAACTCAAATATATATACATTTACAATTTCAATTACATAAGTAATGTAAATATGTGTGCATTTCCACCAAATCTTATCACTCTTACCAGAAATAGCAATTGAATTTTGTCACCCTAAAAATGTGACAACTGCTGTTTCAAACTAGATTACAAACAACTAACATGGAAGCATGTTAACGATCCAAAAATGTATGAACGCAATTGAAGCAAGTGAATCAGAAGCCATACCTGAGTGTACAGTTAGAAGTAAAAAGAGCAGACTAGAAAGAGTCCCCATGCTGCTGAAGCGCTGACTGACTGCATGTGTCGGAGAGAGCATTCACTGAAATGTTCACAGACTGAAACGCTCTGTCGTCTCAAAGATCCACCCAGCAGACATTCTTTCACTGCTCCTGTGAAAAGACAAATGAAAGAAGGCACACACCAGCACAGCTGGCATTCCCTCATACATTTGGAGTGGTGTCACAATGTGCCTATCACATTCTAAAATGATGACGGTTAGATGTACATTTTACAGACACAGAGCAGTTTGTATGTAGCTGTCACACCCTTCTTGTGTGTTTTACAACTGAGACATACTGTAAGATAAAAATTCTGACTAATCTTGACTGACCTGACTGAGAAATTCAGTGTCACTTTTATTCATTTCAACAAAAAAAGGTCATAATTAAGGCTTGTATTACTAGGTAAAAAATATTTACACTCTAACTTGAGTTTTGTTTATCTGATGAGACAGTCATGCTCCTATTAAGTTCCTTCCTCCCTCCTGAGTCCAGACTGACAGGTCCGACTGCTTCCACTAATGGGTGAAACTATCACAGCAAGGCATCAAGCATTTTCTCTTTAGTCTCTGAGGTTTTTCAGGTTTTGTTTAATGGCAACAAGGCGAAAAATCCAGAAGAAAAGAATTCTAGGTAACATTTACAAAAAGTTTCATTAGTGAACTACTTTAGTTAACATGAACAATATCTCTACAGCATTTATTAATCTTAGAGTTAATTTCAACATTTAATAACGCATGATTAAAATCAAAAGTCGTGCTTTGTTAACATTAGTTAACGCACTGTGAATTAACATGAACTAACAATAAACGATAATGCATTTTCATTAACTAACATTAACAAAGATTAATAAATGCTGAAATAAATGTATTGTTCATTGTTTGTTCATGCTAGTTAATACATTAACTGTTGTAAAGTGTTAACAAATTCTATTCAAATTCAAGCTTTAAGTTTTAGAAGACAAATGAAACCTAGATATAGTCAAACAGACATGTATTTGATTTTTATTCCATTGAAAACTATACTGTCATAAATAATGCACATGACAAAATACTACTCTTAAAACATTCTGAATAAATACTGTACTGAAGCTTGCTATTTCAGCTTCTCAAATTCATTTGCTGTTGTATCCGCAGGCACTCGTGTCAGAATCATCTGCGTCGCGCGGTTCAAATGAAAACCAAGATAAATGCAAAGCAGCAAACTCAAGGTGTGTTTTCGAAAATTGCCAGAAAGTTCATTTCTGTTCAAAACAACTAGTGGGCGCTATTCTGGATGTTTGAAAACAGTAGTGTCGATGCGGTAATCACAGGTATTGCCATTGCTGTCATTCGTTCAGAGGTTATAAAAGCACAGGTGGGTGTTGCTGTAGTTTCCTTCAGAGCTTACGTCACTTTTTAATTGTTGGAATGATTGGCCTGAGTGACTATTACACACGGATTTAGTCTAAAGCAGGTGTGCGCTGCTAATCTCTTCAGGTCTGGCTTGTTTGAGCAGAAATTAGTGTATTGGAAGTGTGACAGCAGGAGGCAGGCTCATTCCAAGGATACACAAAGAGAACTTTCAGCGACTGTAATGCCCTTCTTCAGTTTTTGTATCAGCGTTTCTCCTGTATTGCATGCATACAACGCTGCGGACGCTTAGTCTTCATGTGGCTTTCCTTTGGGTTTCTTTCTGTGTCCCGCCCCGTAATCATGTGACCTGGACTTGCTCACTTTATAAATCCTGAAGACAGAGAAATTAAACACAATTGAGTACTCTCCATATTGTACTCTCAATAAAGAATGGGAAACTACTTTGTAATTGTAGTTTATAAAGCTAAAAGCTACTGATAATTTAAACTACAGTCAGGTTTGTTTGTGTATATATTGTATGCATATATATTATATATATATATATATATACATACATACTTTTTACAAATGTACTTGTCCACTCCTTCATCCAATGCCACATGCACCAATTTTATGTTTTCCCTACCTGCGCTGATAGAGGTAGATGAGGAAGACCACATCATCTCTGAAGCAAGCCAACTGATGGGGTCCAGGAGTGGTTATTATTCAACTGAACACATTGCTGATGAATGTACTCAAGCCCTGAGTAGCAAAAGCAACCCAGCATAGTGACTCTACTCTGATAAAACATTTTTGTACATCTACTGTATTTTGGAAAGGGTCTAAAGTTGTCATTTACTTTATGGACAATGAACTAAATGATCAGTTACCCTACTAAAAATGAGCATCAGTCCTAACGTTAAGATCCTTCTGAAGGATATGCAGAGTAGTAGGTGCTACACACAGCCGGTCTGATGACCTTTCACACAAGTTTTAATAGCCTCGAGGTCTTTCACGCAGAACACCGGTTTGCAGGTTTTTTTTTTGAGAGGCGGAGGAGTGGAATAGAAAAAATAATGTCATGCAAAAAAAAAAAAGCAAAAGATGCAATACGCAAGCTTATCAAAGACGTCTGTCAAGCTCATGTTTACATAGAAAAACAATGGAAAAGCAGTGCAGTGGAATGCAAAAATGTGTTCTGTGTGAAAGGCCACTTAGTTTATATGGACTTTTTATGGGGTCCAGGAGTGGTTATTATTCAACTGAACACATCGCTGATGAATGTACTCAAGCCCTGAGAAGCAAAAGCAACCCAGCATAGTGACTCTACTCTGATAAAACATTTTTGTACATCTACTGTATTTTGGAAAAGGGTCTAAAGTTGTCATTTACTTTATGGACAATGAACTAAAATATCAGTTACCCTACTAAAAATGAGCATCAGTCCTAACGTTAAGATCCTTCTGAAGGATATGCAGAGTAGTAGGTGCTACACACAGCCGGTCTGATGACCTTTCACACAAGTTTTAATAGCCTCGAGGTCTTTCACGCAGAACACCGGTTTGCAGGTTTTTTTTTTGAGAGGCGGAGGAGTGGAATAGAAAAAATAATGTCATGCAAAAAAAAAAAAGCAAAAGATGCAATACGCAAGCTTATCAAAGACGTCTGTCAAGCTCATGTTTACATAGAAAAACAATGGAAAAGCAGTGCAGTGGAATGCAAAAATGTGTTCTGTGTGAAAGGCCACTTAGTTTATATGGACTTTTTGGACTAGGGAGAAAGTTGTGAGTTCCTGAACGTTTTAGTATTTTCATAAAAATAACTCTTTTGTTCAAAAGGTTCAAGGAAAACTAATTTCTCATTAAACTACAATGTACCTTATACATAAAGATGGACACCTGCAGATGAGCCACTGATTTTAACTGTGGAGAAAAGCAAAAGACACACTCAAGGAACATTCAGAATAAACAGTACAGGTAAAAGACAACTGTAGTTGAACTGTATTTTACGACTGGTCTATAAACAAACCTTATAATTGATCAAAACTGCGGAACCATCGACAGAAATCCAAATGCATAAACACCTTGAACACCAAAAGAATAGGAACTATTATTTTCCCTTCTTTCGTACAGTAAGTAATAAAGTGTGCATTGAGAACTCAATAATTATTTAATACTTTTTATTATTAAAGCTCTTACAACTAATAAGGCCATTGGTTATCCAAGAGTATCAACTATTGAGAGTAGGCAACTAATGAAACATAAATATATTTATATATATTTACAGTGGCGCTAAAAGTTTGTGGACCTTTTTTCTGAATTTGTTATCAGTATGAATGGGCCAAAATTCTTCCATGCTGATATATAGAACTAATTCACAGTTTAGTTGCTTTTATTGCTGCTCAAGGGTGTTACAACAGATAACAGCAAAGATATTCACAAGCTGGATTATTTTGCTTAATATATGAGTAAATATTTGCTATATTTTTGAGTTATTAGTTTAGCTGGACTTGTATTTGTCTAGTTACAGGTAGATCCAGTCTCAATGTAGGTCAAACTTACAGAAAATTCTTAAGGGTTCACAAACTTTCCAAATCCACAGTATTTCAAATAAAAAAATTAATGCATAATGTATTTATAGTTCATTAGCGGATAATGTTACCTTTTATTTTGGAGATATAAGTATATGGCCCCACTGATACACAACGGATACATCAGATATAACAAGAACTTCATGGCCTGTACAAGTAAAAAGGAAGTCCACGTGAAACTACTTAAAGGGGTCATTGGATGACCATTTTCCACAAATTGATATGATTCTTTAGTGTCTTAATGAAAAGTCTGTAACATAGTTAGGTTAAAGTTTCTCAATGGTAGTATAAAACAACACCCTTTTACCCTGTCAAAAACAGCTCTTTTCAGAGCAAGCCGTTTTGTAGCATTTTCCTTTAAATGTTAATGAGCTCTGCTGACCCCGCCCCTCTCTTCCGAGCTGCTCTCTGAGGGACTGTTTACTTTAGCCGCATTCATCGTGAAACTTGCTAATTAGCACATTATTAGGAAAGGCGATTTGCAAAGATTCATTAAAAAACCTTATACTCACTTCTTCTGTAGGTGAAGCTGGATCACGAATGATTCGCACGAACATAGACGCATTTAGGTAGATGGGGGGGGGGGACGCTGTGAAGAAACAACGTAATCCACTGCGTCTTCAGCGGCTCAGATGTCGGGAGTAAATGATGACTGCTATGTTCATTATTACATCCAACAACAGAACACAACAAATCAATCACTTAGGAGTCATTCTTGTCTACATCTGCTCCGGCGGTGAAACAATGGCGGACTGATGACAGCTCACTCAGGGCGGGTCTAAGGTAAGACGCCAGTCCAGTCTGTGCTGAAACGCTACTGTCAATCAAACTGTCGTGGGAGGGGCCTGTTTTTGTGACGTCACACAGACAGGCATCTGAGATCGGCTCGATTTGAGAAAGGGGGAAATATTTTAGTAGATAAAACAAAAACACCGGTTGGATTTTTATCATTATATGGTGGTTGTGTACACACACTGCCAACACACATTTCAGTTCAAACAACTTGTAAAAGTGCATGTAGCATCCGATGACCCCTTTAAACTGTTTGATTCAATGGAAAATACATATTTCCAGGCAAAACAACAGTGTCATAGAATGAGATGATTAATTCTACAGGAACTCTCAAGGAAACAGGGGTTATAAGAAACAAAATAGCTCAATGAGCAAAATGAAATGGTTTAAAAAAGAATGTGCTCATACCTTTGAATCATAGTCTTCCGTTGCTCACTCAAAATCATCCAT